ATTGAAATAAAAGAAGGCTATTTTGGAAACAAAAAAACAGGTTTAGTTGTAAAATGTTCATTTTAATGTAAATAATGTACTCAAGAGAATATATGCGATTAATGTTTTTCTAATTATTATATATTTAATGTAAAAAAAAATATATATGTATAATATAATTTTTTAAAGGATAAATGTGTTGCTTAATGCCCTGAAAATACTATATTAATAAATGGAAAATGTAGTTTAAATATAAAGATAAGTAGTACATTTAATAATTAAGATTAAAGTAATTTAATACCTTTTCCTTTGTTAATATCATGCATGATGTTCGGAATTTCAGTTTATTTTTCGAAAATAGATAAACCAGTTACTTTCGTTCCTGGATGCATTGTAGGTTTTTGTGGCTTTTTCGAATGGATTTCGTGGATAATTTTAATTTAAATAAGCTTTTAGTACGAAGGAGGGAACAGTACGGCTAGTATTTTATCTATATTGGGTATTTTGGGACTATATATAGCCAATTTATGTTATTTTTTGGTTTTTAGATATTAAGTTTTGGATGATTAGAGGTATATGGAATGGTCAGAAAATAAAAAGAATAAAATTTGCAGTAATTTAATTTAATTTTTAGGCTTGATTTTTTCTTTTAAAATGCAAAAAATTATCTTTAGTTAATATTTTAATTAAAGTTTTTTTAAATGTAAATTAAAAAGTATAGATTCTTTTTTTTAGTTTAATAAAATATCTTTTATTAGTGTTTTTCTAAATTCCTCTTTTATTATTATCGCTGCAGGTATTATTTCATATAAATATTAGCAAAAAATTCAAGTTTTTATACTTGCTTTGGATGCATTAATTGTTACAGTGCTTATGGTACTTTTTATGGTCTGGGAAGCTTTTAAAAATGATAATTTTTTCTATGAAAATCAGAATTAGAGCCATATTTTGCCTTTTTAAGGTGGTGAGAGTTTTAATAATTCACGTTTTTTACCTAATGAAATCAATTAGTCGAGATTAATTGGTAATTAATCTAAGTTTTTGAATTTTGAAAAGTCTATTGTGAGAAAATAATACTCAAATTCCTATTTATTTGAGTTTTGTGAAGAAAAAAAAGTTTTTAGAAGTGAAAAAATGCAAAATGCGTATTTTGATTTATGTAAAGAACAATTGAATTTGAAAAATGCGAAAAATTTAGGAATAGTTGTTTAGTAGGAAATTTATGAAAATGTATATTTTATAGGAGGAAATAAAAAAAAAAAGATTTTTAATATTTAAAATATAAATAAAGAAGATATTTTAAAATAAGAAAAAAGCTAAATTAATTTATAAGTAAATAAATAAATAAAAAATAAAAATAAAAAATTATTTCAAATTTATTATTAATTAATTTATATATAAAGTAATATGAATCGATTTTAAAAGATAGTTGCTAATATTAATAAGTTGAAGAATATTAATAAAACAAAAAATATAAACAGAAACCATATATTGAAATTAATAGCGAAAGATTAAATATATAAATGAAAAAAAAAATATCAAATAAAATAATTAAAACAGAATATAATTTAATTAAAAATAAAAGTAAATATTCATTGAAAAATATATAAGAAAAAAAATCAAAAAATATATTATAATAAAATTATATTGTTGAAAAAAATTAAAAAGTAAAATATTTATATATAAATATATATATATATATATATATAATATAAATATTTATTTATTTATTATGTAAATTAATTTTTTTATATCATACTAAATATTTTACGATTTATATTTTATTTTATTTATTTAATTTTTAATAAGTTAATAGATTAAAATGAAGTTGTTGATACTAATCCTTTTTTATCGTAATCTTTTGTATAATAAATTACTAATAAAGAAAATTTCTAGAATATATTTAATATATAACATAATTCAAAAGTTAATTTAAGTTCTCAAAATACAAAAAAAACAACTTCTTAAATATTATAAGAAATTTAGAAAATATAAATATTTCCTTTATAACCAACTATTAACTCTATATAAAAAAAAAAAAAATTATAACTTAATAATGATGATGTAAAAAACAAATATAATATATAAAATAATAATATATATATAAAGGTTATTTATGATTAAAATGAAAGCATACATACAGCATTGGAAGATGATATGAATTTTAATGAAGTAAGTCCATCTGATTTTAATATATTAAATTAAAAATATGATAATCACTATTTTATTTAACATTATCCTGATTTACCCACGAATACTATTCACATATAAAAGCCTTAGATAATATTCTCTGATATATAAAGCTTAAATAAAAACATATTAAATTAAAATTAAAATTATTTTAATAATAATAATATAAAAGATAATATTTCTTAAATTTAAAATAATAATATGCAGAATACTATTTATGTAAATGAAAATAATATTTAATTTAATAAAATAAATAAGAAAAATTCTTCTACTAATTTTAATATAAAACCTGTAGACTAAATTAAATTAAAAACTTTGGAAAAAATATACATTTAAAGAAAATTTAAAAAAAAGAAAAAGGTTTAGAAAGGTAAAACTAATTTAGAAAGAGAAGTTAAGGATAGTTCATAAATTTATATTTCGGATATTAAAAAACCTAATAATGAAGAAAAAAATAAAGATATTTCATAAATATATATATAGGATTTAAAAAGAATTAGAAATGAAGATAAAGAAATGGAAGAAGAAAAAGATATTTCATATTTAAAAAAAATAAATAATGTTTAAAATATTTAATGATTATATATATATATATATATATATATATATATATATTTATCCATTTTTTATTATATAAGACTTATTTTATTTGTATTAATATTATTAAAATAAAAAAATATAAAATAATATATATATTAATAATTTTTTTTTTTTTATATTTTTATTATATAATTTTTTATCCTTTTTATATTTATTTTTATGCGTTTTTTTTTTTTTTATTTATAATATATACATAAATTTGTATTTAAATTAAATAGTTTGTTAATTTTTTTAAATTTTGAATTTAATTTTTTATAAAAATAAAAAATTTCAAATTCAAAAAATATAAAAAAAATGTTGGCAAAAATTTGTGATTTTATTTCTTTTCAAAAACAAAAAAAGTATTAAAATATTAAATTTAAAAATATTAATTATATTTTAGAATTCCTTAAATCATAAAAGATTTTTACGAACATGAAATAATTGAAACAAATAATACTAATAATTAACAATAATAATTTAAATTCGAAATCCCTATCTAAAACCCAAATTCAAAAATCTTAATACTTGATTTAGATGAAACATTAGTGGCCACTTCTTGCTTAAAATTTGATTCAGCCGATTTTTAAATACAAGTAGTACTTCCTAATGGCAAAAATAAAAATATATGGGTGAAAAAAAGACCATTTGTAGATGATTTTTTTGCATAATTAAGCCATTATTATGAAATTTTTATATTTACAGGCAGTATAAAATAATATGCTGATGCTCTAATAGATAGAATTGATAAAAAAGGTTTAATAAAAGGCCGATTTTATCGAGAACATTGCACTTTTGACTAAAATGGAAATTTTTATAAAAACCTTAATAATTTTACTAATATATAAATTGAAAATATAATTATAATAGATGTAAAAAAACATAAAAAATATATAAATATATATATATATATATATATACATTGAAAAAAAAAAAAATACTAAAGAATTAAATGAGTTGTTTTTAAAAAAATATGGAAAACGGAATATAAATAAAAGAATTTGATCTAAATAATATATAAAAAGACGACGAATTGAAAAAACTAGTCCCTTTTTTAAAAATAATGTCAGATTTTAAAGACATGAGGGATGTTTCTTAAAATCTATAGTCTTTTTTAGAAAATAAAGACATAGAATATGTGGATAAATAAGGTTAAGAATGTATTTTAAAATAAGGAAAATATAAAATTTATAAAGATAGATTAAATACAGAAATGTCGGATTCTACAAAATCTGGAAATATAGAAATGAAGTTTTTAGATGAAAGTTAAAAGTCTAATTCTGGTTAAACTATTAGAATTGAAGAAAATGGAAATTATTTAAATGAAATTAATAGAGTTTATCATATTGATGAAATTAATATTTATTAATAAGAATATACATAATAATTATAATAATAAGAAGAATAAGAAGAAATAATTTAAGAAAAAAAAATAGAAAAAAAAATAAGTTGTTTGATATGTAATCATTTAAGTAATAAATTTTAAATAAAATTCATGCAGATAACTTTAAATAAGTTAGATATTATTAAAGTATTAATGAATAGGAATCTAATAGTAATTAAAAAGAAGATACAATTGAAGATCCTGAAAATTTCATTAAAAGAGCTAACTCTATTGGCTTTTACAAAAAAAGAAGATGTGTTTCAAATGTTGATTAATTATAAACTAAATTTAATAAAATCTAAATTGATAATGATTAGTTTAATTCACCTGTTAATAAAGAAGTATGATTATATAGAAATATATATTATTATTATTATAAAATTATATATTTTATTTTGTATTTATACTTTTTATTCTAATAATTTCTCTGTTTTTTATTAATATCTCTTTTTTAAAAAAATAAAATAAAATAGAATTTATTTATAAATTCTAATTAATAAATAAAAAAAATCATTTAATAAAATAATTATTTTTATTTAAACTTCTGTGTTTATTTTTTAATTTTAAAATAAAAACTTTAAAAACATATTTTTTTTGCTTAACTTTTAAATTTAGTTTTTAACAATAAAATACTTTTATTTATATATTTTTAAAACATAGAAATATTATATATAAAATTAAATTTATTATAAAAAAATAAAACTAAATATGTAAAAAAACTTATATTTTCCTCCCGAAAATCAATAATTAAAAAAAAATTATTAAACATGCGGAAAATGGACTTCTTATTAAATTAATTAAAAATAAACACCATATAAAATTATATTTTCGAACATATAAAGTCTAAAAGAAAAGCTTATGAAAATAAAACAAATGGGAATAGAAAATTTAATAATTTTAAGTGACTTTGACTAAACAATAACTGGTTTCGGGACTAAAGAAGCTCCTTAGCCTGCTTCTTTTGGCATCATAAGGAAAAGCAAACATGTTTCTCCTAATTTTAATGTAGAATTAACCAGATTATTCGAAAAATATCAACCTTATGAGCATAATATGACCATTGATTAAAATTTGAAATTATAAATGATCGAAGAATGGAATTGTTTAGTTTAAAAAATCTTTAATGAAGAAAAGATAAGTAAATCATAGATCAATGATAGTCTTAATGTCAGTAATTTACGAATTAGGTATTTTTTTAAAGAACTTATAGGCTAATGTAAGGAAATTAATCTTCCTTTTTATATAATTTCTGGAGGTTTATCTCCCATAATTGCATCTTGTATGGAAGAACTAGTCGGAAACCCCTAAGAATACCCAAATCTATTTATTTTTTGTAATGAAGGTTATTTTAACGAAGAAGAAAAACTACATAAAATCAATATGGTAGTAAATACAAATAGCAAATAGCTTTTAGTTTCGAAAAAATAATTCAATTTGAGGAAAAATGTATTCCTTTTTGGGGATTATCAACATGATATTTTTATGAAAAAAGACACAGAGTGTGAAAACGCAGTTTGTGTGATGTTTGTGAGAGAAAATTTGGATTAAAATGAAATTTCGGTTCTAAAAAATGAATGGGATGCTTTAATTGTTGGGGAAGGGAATTTTATTTTGCATTAAATGTTGTTAAATTTCGTTAGTGGAGGCTAGTTTTTTAATTTTTAGGAAGAATTTAATTAAGAAGAATAGAATCTTTAGGAAATTAAGGATATTATATTTAAATGAATTTTTTATCTTTTTTATTTGAGAGTGTATATTAAGAAAGGAATTTTCTTAGTTTTTGTAATTTTTTTTTGTTTAAAAAATCATTATTATTTTTATATATATTTAATTTTAATCTTTTGTTTTGTTTAAAAAAGTATGTATAGTTAACAAATAAAAAAAATTAATAATAAAATATATTTATTTATTTTTATTAAATAAAAGTATAATTATTTATTTATTAGTTTTTTTTTATTTTATATAAAAATTAAAATTATATTAAATATTAGATTTTTTATATAAAAGTCTACAAAAAAAAAAGATAATATTAATAATATTTAAATATATATTAATTTATAAGAAATTTTTAAATAATATATATATAAGTATGTAATTTAAATTATTGATTATAAAATCGTAAAATTAAAAAAATATAATAGTCCAATTTTATATCAAAGAATTATGTAATAAAGAATTTTTATATATTAAATAAAAAGAAAAATAAGATAAGTATTCTTAAATATCAATATATCATGCATTAATAGAATTAATATTAATATTTAAATTAGTATAAGTATTAATGCTTTTATAAGAGTCTAATTATTCTTAATTAAAGCATTAATCAAAGAATAAATTTATTGCTTTAAATATGATTAATAAAAATAAATATATATATATATATATATATATATATATATATATATATATATATATATATATATATATATATATATATAATAAATATATATTCTGATTTACGTTTATTAGTAAATTAATAATCAAAATAAGTTAACCATTATCTTTAATTTATATCAGGTTTAAAAGGCGGAGAAATCTTATAATTTTTTAAATTATTATATATAAATATAAAAAAATTAAAAATTATTTATTAATTTGTAATAATATTTTTATAAAAAATAAATATAAAATAAAAAATACATTTTTATTGTATAATTAAAACCAATCAATATTTTAAAACCAAATATGTTTTTTAATTTCTTCAGCTTGATTTTTATAACCAATTCTTTATTTATAATCTTTTTACAGTAACTAAAAATATATTTATATATATATATATATATATTTTTATATATTTATATATATTTATATATTTATTTTATATATATTTTTTTTTAATACTTAAGACATAAGATTTTTTGCCTCTAACGATACTTAGTTTTGGTGAAATGGAAACATTAAAGGTTTATTTAAAATATTTTCAAACATAACTTTATGTTATTTATCATAAAAAGCAGGAATTCCATATAACATTTCATATCTAAAATTTTTTAAAATTTATTTTATATATATATATAATTTTTTTACATTATAATTCCAAAAGACCACCAATCAGAAATCTATATATATAAAAAAATTATACTAGTATATTTATTTTATTTAACTTTTTGTTACTTTTTAACTGCCTTTTCCCTATAACAATTCAGGTGAAATATATTCAGGAGTTCCACAAAACGTCATTGCTGTTTCTTCATTATTTAAAATTTTTGCTAGTCCAAAATCTGTTAAACATATATTTCCTTACTCATCTAATAAAATATTTTCTAATTTCATATCTCTATAGACTATATTTTTATTATGCAAATATTCTAAAGCTAATAAAATTTAGGCAGCATAAAACTTGACTTTTTCTTCAATAAAAATATAATTTATTTTTAAATGCTAAAATAAATCTCCACCTTTATATACTTTCATTATTATATAAATTGCTTTTTAATCTTCAAAAATTCCAAAAACTTCAGATAAAAAAGAATGCTTTATACTTTAAAGAACCTTTTTTTCGTTTTCAATATGTTAATATTATTATTTTGCAATCATATCGACTTTATTAATCATTTTTATGGCGACTTCCATTTCTATTAAAAATAGATAATTATATTAACAATTTATATATATAATATAAAAATTTACATGTTGTTTTATGAATGGATAGAAAAACACATCCAAAAGCTCCTTATCCTAATAATTTTATAAAATTAAAGTCATTAATTTAATATTTTTAAGATAATTAATATTATTAATATTATTATTTTTATTATAATTATTATTATTGTTATTATTATTATTATAATTATTATTATTATTTTTATAATTATTATTTTTATATATATATTTTTTATTTTATTTTTTAACTATTATTATATAAATTATCATATTCTTCATAATCTATTTCCTTTTTAATTATTTTAGAATATATATAATTTTTTTATATATTTTAAATTATACATTTATTTGAATATTTTTTGTAAAAGGATTTTTTATATACTTTTAAAGTATATGGTCTTTCTAATTTTTATATTTTTTTTAACAAATATTTACATATTTTTAATTTTACAATTAAAATTAATTTTATTTTTATTTTAAGAGATATATTATATTATTTAATAATATTACTAAGTAAAATGTTCTTTCTATTATTATTATTTTAATAAAATAAATAAAAAAATAAAATATTTAAATTTTAATTAATTTTTTTTATTTTGTACTATCCACAATAATATCTAATATTACTATTTTTTTATTTTTAAATTATTAAGAACTCTAGTCCTGAAGCACTTTAGGCTATAGCATATATTTACTCGAACGAAATTCTGACATTTTTATTTTATTTTTCTTAATTATTTATAAAAAATTTATATATTAATTTATTTTCTTAAAACAATATTATTTTTTATATATATTAATATATTTTTCAAAATAATAATACTTTTTTATGAATTATTATATATTGCTTAATTAGTTAATGTAAATTGAATTTCTTTTCTTATTTAATTTTAAAATTTGAATAAAATGCATTAAAATATAATGGTTTCTATATTTATTAAAAAATTATTAAATATAAAGAATTATATATATTTAGTATATAAAATATGCTATATATACCGTTTTCTTTAATATTCAAATTTTCATTATTAAAAGAAGGTGTTTAAGAGGAATTTTATTAAATTTATAAATTCATTTACATGTAAAATATTTTATATAAAAAATAAATAAAAATATTTATTATTATATTTAATAAATATATATTTTATTATTATAATTAAAGTTATTAATAAATATATTATTTAAATTAAAATAACCAATCATTAAATTTAAAACATCATTTTTACCTTAAAATCTAACAATTAATTATATTTTCTTTTTATAATACTTTATAAATAAAACATTTTTTTAATCAATTAGAAAAATATATATCAAATTTAATATTTTAGACATTTTTTGTATAAAAGTAAAAAATATATGTAATTTTTAATATAACATAGAAATATGTAATATTATATTCCCCTATTTTAATTGGAATGCCATTCACATTTAATTTTTTGTTTGTTTTTTCTTATAAAGACTTTTAATAATTAAAACAAAGAAGGAAGAAGGAATGTTTAAAAATATTTAAAAATATTATTTATTTTATAAACTAAAAAAAAAATATTAATTAAAATAGATTTATTTATAAAAGAAAATAAATAATTAAATAAAAAAGTTAATTATTTGTATTTATATATATAATATTTATATAAATGAAATTTATTTATTTATTTTATAATAAATTATAATGAAATAATTTATTCCTTGTGATCAATATTTTCTTATAAAATTTTGATTGATGATAAATTTTATGCTACTTATTTTATTGTATATATTAGTTTTATATATTTATTTATTTAATTTATTATCTTTAATAAAATTGAATGAAGCTATGTTTATTTTTTGTAATAAAATAAAATAATAAATTAATTAGAAAATTTTATATTGGTGTTTAAGTTTTTATTTATGAAAATTAGGAAAAAAGTAATATAAAATATTTTTAATAATCTAGTCATTTTATATATTTTAGGTATGTTCTAATTATTTTAAATTATATACTGTTTACCTTTATTTTACTATTGCTTATGTTTTTAATTTAAAAAGTAATATTAATCTAAAATAATTATTATTTAATTAAATTAGTTCTTATTATATATAATTAATTATAATTGTATTTTCTTTATTATTTTATTAAAATTTAATCAGGCTTAATAATTATAATGACTATTTATTTAAGTTGCTTAATTACAATTTTTTTAGTTTTTTACTTTAGTTAATGTATTTTTGAAAATCAGCAATTATAAATAAAATCAGCATAATTTTTAAGGATTATTAATTATTTATTTTAGAATATAAATTAAACTGAAAAATGTGATTTTTCTTTTATTTGAATTAGGTGAGTTATTTTGAATTTAACAAGTGGAATTATTGCACAGTTTATAATTAGGAATACAATAATAAAATTACAAATTATTAATATTATGATTTTTTATCTTTTATTTATTAAAAGATGATAAAAATAAAATTATTTTATAAATTTGTGAAATAATGTCTATTTTCGCTATTTTAATTAACTTTAATTTTCAAATAAATAGATTCAAATAGCTTTTATTACAAAATAAAATAATAAAAAATATTTGAATTTCATCGTTATGTTAATAATTAATAATAATTGTATATAGATAAAAATTTTATTTCTTTGTTATTAATTATTATATAATGTATACCTTTTATATAATAAAAAATGAAAATTATAAAAGAAAATTTTATTTAATCAAAAATATTAAATTTAAATTAATAATTTTTTTATTAAAAAAAAAATAAACATTTTTTTCTATTTATTTTATATTTGGGTTTTTTGTTAGTTATGCATTGATAAATATATTACTTATTTTAATGAATTTATATAAATATTATTTCTATATATTGTAATAATTGTATTAATAGTACAAATTTTCTTTTTATATACATATTTATATTAATATATATTAAAGTTATAATATTAAAAAAATATGGATACTAATAAAGAAATTAATAAAAAAAGTAACAATGAAAGCTAAAAATAATTATTAAATTGGAGAGTATATAAATAAAAAAAATTAAATAAATTTTCATTAATTAGAAATATCTTTATGATGAAAATACATAAATAGAAATTATCAAATTTTAAAATTGGGATCAAAATTTGACTTTTCCTTTAAGCGAGTTTTTTATTTGTATTATAAATTTAATCATAAATAAAACTATTTTTTTTATTCCAAAAAATAAAAAAGTGTACTATAAAGAGATTTAAACCGGACAAGAAATCAAGAAAAATTTTTTAAAAAGGAAAAAACATAAAAACATTTATAATTAATTGCTACATTTTATTGTATTCAAAATTAAGTAAACTATTAATAAGGATTATTAGATGTAATAAAAAAGTATTAATATTTAAAAATTATTTTAATATTTTTTATAATTGTTTTAAATTAATATTTAGATAATTGCGCCTTTCTTACTTTTAAGGTCCTCAGAATTTAAATTATCTAAATGTTATGCATATTTTAATACATTTATGAATAAATATTACCCTCAGATTCTAAAAGCAAGAGTATTTATTATATTATACATATATATATTTTTTAATTTTAAGACATGTGATAATGAAAAAGGACTTCCGCATGCCAATTGTGCGATTTACTTATGCAAACTTTTATTAAGATATCATAATTAGAAATTAATGACTTATTTAGATAAATTAGATATTGATATATCTATTACTGTTACTTAATGGCTTTTGACAATGTTTACATAGTAATAAATTAATATAAATGTAATTTTTTTGTTAAAAAAATAAAAATATATGAAGAGGATCTCCATTAAATATCGTGTATTTAATTTTTGATGAGTATTTAAAAAGAGAGAATAAAAATTATATTTTTTATTTAGCAATAAGTTTAATTTTAATCAGAGATAAAGAAATTTAGCAAATAATGTAAGAGGATGAGGATTAACTAATTATTTTTTCAATAAAAAGCTAAAAAATTTATAAAAATCGGAAGATGTTTAATTAATATTCTAAATGTAATTTAATATAATTTTCATTTTATATATAAATAAACTTAAATTATATATATATATATATATATATATATATATATATATATATATATTATTATTTTAATATTTTTTACTAATAAAAAAATTATTTAGGGCTGATAATATATAAAATAAAACTCCTTATTCGTTTGAAAAGTATATTAATTAAATTGGGTTTTATAGTTGTGCAAGTAATTAATAAATAATAATAAAAAATTTTTATTAGTAAAAATATAGTCTTGAGTGTAGAAGATATTAAAAATATAAAAGATATTCAACTTTTAGGAAATATGATTCCGATATATACTGAGGAAATATATAAAAATAAAAAGTTAAATTTTCGAATAATTGATTGTAGATTTAGTGGTCATGTTAATTATAAATTTCCTTTTACAATAAAGTTTAATATTAATAAAAATAATGCAAATGAGAAAATAAATTAATTATGTGAACATATAATTAAATAATATTAAAAAGATTAACATTTAATTTTCTTTATTTCTGATCTGGAAAATTAAAATGAAAAATATTATGTTTTATAAATTTAGAAAATTCTTATTAATAATGATTTGGAACATTTATCAATTTTAATAGATACATATAAAGTAATTTTTTTTTTTACTTTTAAATAAAAACATAAATTATCTTTTAAATATAAATAGGCAAATAAAATTATAGAAAAAAATATGAAAAGTTAAAATGAATAAAAGAAAATATGCAATATTTTTTGAATATATCTAATATTAAATACATATAATATTTATTAAATTTGAATATCATTTTTAATCATTTAGTTAAAATAATTTATTTTTTATTATATTTTTTTTTTTTTTTAAATTAAAAATAACTAAAAACTTTTTCACCTTTCTATATATTAAAATAAAAAATAATTTAAATATAAATGGAAAATTTTAAATGCATTTATAAACCTACTTCATTAGAATAACCAATAAAGGTTAAAAAACTTAAATACTTTTCATTAAATATAAATACAAAAAATAAATTTAAAAGCAAAACCAAAAATACATTCCAAATATTGCATGGATCTAAAAGTCTTAACCTCCAATATATAATTTTAAAAATGAAAAACTTGGAAATTTAAAAGCAACGGAAGATTTAGAAGGATATAATTTAAATTAAGCAATATATGGGGAGAAAAATAATATTTAAATATAGTTTTTATAATAAAATTCAAAAAATAATAATATATATAACATTTAAGAAATAAATTAAAAATATGGAATTAAATAACCAAAAGAATTTATTCAAAGCTTGATATCATATAAACATAATCCTCATTTTCTAGGGCAAAATAAAACTAATAATTAATAAATCAATAATGATGATTAAATAAAAAATAATAAAAATAATGATATTTAATAAGATTTTAAAGAAAATAATTAAAATAATATTAATAATAATTTATAAAATGAAACTTAAAATGATTAATAGTAAAAATAATAAATAAATAATTATAAAAATATACTTTAGAATGAAACTTTGAAAAGAATTTAAAATTTTAACTAATAAAATAATTTATTATTTAAATAATAATAATAGAAGTAATAATAGGTTAATGCTTAAAAATAATAATAATTTAATTCTAGTAATAAAGGAAATATATATGATAATTTAGATAAAAATATGGAAAAAATTTATATAAATTTGGAAAAATAAGTAAATAATTTTTATTTTATTTTAGTATATTTTTTTTTAAGGGCGAGAAATTAAGAAATATTTTACAGTGAAAAAAATAATAATTAAAAATATAAATTATTTATATAATATTTATTAAATATTAATTTTATTAATAAAATAAATTAATATATTTTTTTTAATAAATAATATTTTAAAATAACATATGGATTACAATATTTGTATGAATAAAAAAATAAATAAACTTATCTAGATTTATATTTTTTATTAATAGTATAATTAAAAACAAAACATTAATAATTAAATGATAAAATAAATTAAATAATAGATATAATTGTAATGATTAGTAAATAACTTTTCCACAATTGACTGAAATAATAAATTAGATATAACTTTATTAAAATAATTATATTTAAGAATCGTAATTTGTTTAAATAATAAAATAATTTATTTAAATATTTTTTGAAAATATATAAAGTTAAATTAACAAATTATTATGGAATATTTTAACAATTAGCAATTAAACTTACGTTAATAGAAATTTAATATTCAAAATTTTTTAAATATTAATTGATCCATAAATTAATTCTAAAGAATTAATTATGATTAATTTAAAATTTTTTTTTGAGTAAATCATATATATATATATAAATATGTATGTATATATAAATATATATAAATATATAAATATATATAAATATATATATATATAATTATTTATATTTATAAATCATAATTTATTTAATTTCATATTTTTTTTATATAAAAATAATATTTTTTATTAAAAAAAATTAATAATTTTTAATTCTTAATAAATTAAATTAGGAATTGCAATGAGAATTAATTTGAAATTAATGATTCTATATTAAACTTTATAACAATATGTAACTTAATATTCTAATAATCAGTAAAATCATCAATTTAATAAATTTTAAAGTAAATATCATACATAACTTTTAAGTCCCAATAGAAACAAAATTCATAATAATATTAATTTTTTACAATCATTTTCGAATAATTAATTTTAATCAATAGATTAATTAAAAATATAGCCAAACAAACAAAAACAATTCGAATATTAAACTTCTCCTTACTTTTTAAATAATATAATAAAAAGATAAGAAATAATAATGAGATAATTATAAAGATAAAATGATAATAAATTTTGTTTTTATTAAAATTCACCTTCTATAAATAATTTCCAGAATAATAATAATTCTATGGGAAATACAACAAATATTAAGGATTTTGAAGATTTTCAAAACAAATCATTTTATTTTGAATAAAAGACAATAAATAATAAAAAAAGCAATAATATTAATAATAAATCTTGTATAAATTTAATAGAGAATAACCCTGAGTAAGAATATATAAAAAAATCAGAAAAAAATAAGCATTATAAACTTCAATAATTATTAAATATGAAGTTATAAAAACATGATTTAAAGAGTTTTTTGATTAAAAAACTATTCGTAAACAACAGTTATGTATAATAATTTTTAAATAGAGATAACATTTTCAACTAATGTACATTTAAACCAAATATTTCTTATTAGAAAAAAAAAGTTAAAATAAATAAGAAAAAAAAGATGTAATTTCAAGACTTTATGATATAGAAAATTTGAAAAAAAAAGATATCGAAATACTTTAAATTAGAGTAAGACAATAAAATAAATCTATTGAAGAATGCACTTTTTAACCGAAAACTAATAAAAATATATTAAAAAATAAAGAAAAAGCATAAATTAAAGGATTTGAATAGACAGTTTTTAGGCTTAAAAAAGCCTTTGAATAATAATAAATAGAGAAGAAGAAAAAAGAAGAAATTCCTAATGGAATTCTTTTTGAAAAAAAAAAATTATTTTAACCGCCTTCTATGTTAGAAAGGTAAATGCCTAAATAAATACCATTTTATTATGCAAATATTACACTTCATAATGGAAAATAAGGAAAGGTTTCGCTTAATGAAAGGGATGATCCGGTAAAGGTGGCTTTTAATTTTGCGAAAAGCTTTTAATAAAATTAAGAAATGCATAAGTATTTAGAAAATTAATTAATAGACTCTTATAATAATTATATGATAATAAAAAATAATAATAGTTATAATAAAAATAGAGCATGAAATTTGTTCTTATAAGTATGTGATATTAATATTGTATATTGAAAATAAAAATACATTTAATAAATTATAAATAAAAATATTTTTAATTAATTTGATTATATATAAAAAATTATTGTATTAAAATATTAATTATTATAAAAATAAAAAATTATATATATTATTAAAATTGTAATAAAAAATTAAATTATTTAAAAATATATAATAAATTAAAAAAAAAAGATAAAAATATAAATTCTTTAAAGTAATATATTTATAAATAAAATACAAGTATTCAAATAAATAAAAATAATTTGAAATAAAATTAATTTATATATATATAAATAATATATTATATATATATATATATTTTATATATAATATATATTTAAACTCTTATTTAATTATATATTTATTTTAAAATTTTATTTTATATAATTTTCATATTTTTAATTTTTTTATTTTTTTTATAACAAAAAGAATAAATATATTTATATAATTTTTTATAAAAATAAATATATATTTGATATAAATTAATGATTTTATATATAATAATATTTTTTTTAATTTATATATTAATACTATAATATTTTTTATTTTAATAATTAAATTAAATAATTATTTTAAAAATATATGTTTATGTTTAAGCAATTTTAATTAAATAGGAAATTTGTCTTTAATTTTAATTTTTTAATTTAAATATAAAACTTATTATTTATATTCAATAATAAAAAGAGTTTATAAAAAATTTAAATTTGAAAAAATAAATATATATATATATATATTTATATATTTATCTATACATATATATTTTTTATTAATTTAAATAATTTTTAATATATAATTAATTTTTTATATTATTTAAATCTATATTTTATTTATTATAATATTTCTAATTTTTTATATAATATTGTTTTTATTTTTATTTTTATTTTTTATTTTTTTATATATAAATATATATTAATTACATTTAATAATTATAAGATTTCAAAAGATATTAATTTATATAACTAACTATTAATTTATAATTAAATTAACATTTAATTAAAAAAAAAATTAATTTTTTTTTTTACTAATAATTCTATTTTTCTATTATAAAATACAAATTTAATAAATATTTACAATTTTTTTTTTTAATAATAATATGTATTATAAATAAAATATATATAATAATTTTTTTTAAATAAAAGAAAAAAAAATAATATAAATATTTTTATAATATTATCAAATATATATTTAAAATAATTTTTATTTTTATTTTTATTTTTATTATTATTATTTTTTAAATTTATTCCCATTTTTTTTAGATTATATTTAAATAAAAATACAAAGATTGAAATAATTTTAATTATTATAACTGTTATAAAATAACATTTTTTAACATTTAATTATATAATCAAAAAATTTAATCAAATATATTTTATTTTCATCTTTAAATTTATGGATAATTATATATTTATTTATTATTCTTATTTTTTACCTGATCGTTCAAAATAACTTTATTAATGAATTTGTTTTAAAAACAAATTAAATCAGAAATTATTATAAATCGAGTAATATAATATATAAATCCTTTTTATATTTTTCATTTTTCTCTATAGCATTTAAATAGTTTTACATGGGACTTAATAGACTATTTTTAAAAAAATATTTCTTTAATTATTAAAGTTCTTTTAAAAATAATTAGAAGCAATTTATAAAAGTTAGTTAATAGGAGTTAATAGGAAAGTCTTGAAAGTAATTTTCTTACTACTCCTATTAAATATTTTAATATTTTAAAATGAATATATAATTATAATCTTATATAGATTAATATCAATGTTTTGTGTATCATATTCTTTTTATAAGAAAATAAATAGTGTTTTTATAATGAAGAGCATGTTTATTTAACTAATTATGTTATAAAATGATAATTTTTTGCATGCCAGTAAAAAATAATTGAGTAAGTA